GGAGGTTTCAAACAGCATTCAGCTAACATGAATCACCTAAAAGGAAATTACTTTTTCAGTAATATCTCTTAATAACTACACTGCTGTCAACCCGCAGCGACACGATTCCAACAACCAACACCACAGATTTTTTTTACCAAATACTCCACAAAAGCTAACACGGGCGAGACAAAATTCTATTTGATCAAATTCTACTAGCCCTGCCCGCTTGAATGTACACGCTAAAGGGAACAGCACTCCCCGCACGGGCCGCTTCTCCGAAATCAGGCCTCTCTCCGCCACGCAACACACACACACCACACTCAACACGCACACACACACACACGCACCCCGCGCTCGCCCCGACCACACACAATCTCATGCTTGAAACTTCTATACCAGTGACGGTACCTCCATCCCTGACCACAATCACATCCCTTGCTTTCCTTTTAGAGAAGTGACGGGGTCTCCACCCAAAAAATGACACTCAGCCATTGTCCAAAAATCGCAGCCCGCATCAAACACCTGACAGAGTTCATCACACAGAAAGTAGAAGTTCACAGAGGCGCCAACATACCACACCGCAAAACCCACCACACAAGTCCACTCGATTCACATAAACACCAGATACAAACTTTGTTTATATGAAAATACATACAAGGGTCAATCTTTCATTAGGACAGCAAAAAAAGATCCAGCTTTTACATCATAACACTACCTCCCCACTACTCATACGAATTCAAAACATTAATGCACCGCCCCAACCCCACATTCGCTTGAGCATGCAACAGGCGTGTTCGGTGCTGTGGCGTTCCATCCTAACACGCATGCACTCCAATTTGACCCTGCCCAATTCGCGCACTATGTAGACACCGTTCTCCAACAGGACTGTCTGATAAAGAGCAGTAAAAGAAAGTGTCAGCAAAAGGGGAGTTATGCCACTGGTACATCCTCCGATTCACTACAGGACTGCAGAAAAGAGAACTACTAATGCTATCTTATGGCCTGCTCCACTTTACACTTCACGCTAATCCAACAGAACAATCACTCGCGGTCGAAAAAACGCACAAGGCATACCAAAGTGATGGCTTTGCACGCAGCCCGTGAAGTCAGTTCCTCCAGTTACATTTTTGAAAGCAGTACAAGACACGGCTGGGCCCGTTTTACATACCTATGGAGAAGCAGTGTTTGCTAGCCACACGACACTTTGCGATGCATCAGTATCAAATTGTATCTATGAATGCAAACGGCCGAGTGAGTATCACACCGTCTGGCCACTTTGCGGTGCCCTGGTGGGGGTGGGGAGGTTTCAAACAGCAGTTAGCTAACATGAATATAAAAGGAAATTACTTTTTTAATTAAATATTTTTAATAAACTACCACTGTGTAAGACAGTTCAACAACCAAAGAGTTTTTTTTACAAAATATCCAAAACGTAAAGGGCGAGAAAATTCTATTTTCAAATTATACTTTGAATGTAACTAAAGGGAAAGACTGCGTTTTGAAATAGCCCTCTCTCCCCACCCAACACACACACACACACACACACACACACACACACACACACACACACACACATTCATTCTTGAACTTCTATACCAGTGAGGACCTCCCATTGACAACAATCATTTGCTTTCCTTTTAAAGAAGTGAGGGTCTCCCAAAATGACCTCACATGTCAAAAATGCCCTCAAAAACCTGACAGGTTCTCACACAAAAGTAGAAGTACAGGAACATACAGAAACACACACACAGTCATGATTCACATCAAAACAGATACAAATTTGTTTATATGAAAAACATACAACTCAATCTTTTCAATTAGGACACAAAATCAGTTCTTCATCATAAATACTCACACTCATGAAATTGAAAACATTATCAGACCCACATTTGAGCATCAAGGTGTTGTTGTGGCTTCATGTAAGCATGCCCTCATTGACTGCCATGCACTATGTAGCATTCTCCAAGGACTGTCTGATAAAGAGCAGTAAAAATGTCAGCAAAGGGGAGGTTTGCACTGGTAATCGATTCACTAGGTGAGAAAGAGAATACTAATCTATCTTTGGCCTGCTCCATTTACATTCACTATCAACAAACAATATCCGGTCTGAAAAATCCACAAGGTATCCCAAGTAGTGTTTGCACAGCCTGAAGAGTTCCTCCAGTTACATTTTTGAAAAGCAGTAACACAGTACAGCTGGCCCTTTTACATACCTATGGAGACAGTGTTTGCTAGCACAACACTTTGATGCATGAGTATAAATTAATGCAAGGCCGATGAGTTCACTCTGGCCACTTTGGTGCCCTCGGCCAGAATCCACTGGCCAAGGGATTGATTTCATTCTTTTAATATTTTTCTCACAATTGTATTACTGTACTTCAATCAAAATGTATTCAACTTCTAATCTGTGTCATGTCATCAACACCCTATGTAACTGCCTAGCTCACCTATGCCTGCCATGCCTTAATGTAAAATTGATGTGGATTGTTTTCAATAGAAAGCTAACTATTGCTAGGGGTCACATGGTAAACTAAAGCTAAAGTAACCAAATTAAAATATAAATAAACAAATAAACGATAAATCATTTATCATTTCTGCAACACCTTAAATGTCCAGAAATGTTAAATCCTTCTAAAACAATACAGAACCCAGCGTTGACCCTCCTTCCCCTACCGCAGACATAAGAGTCTGATTCAGAGAGACATTTAAGTGCTTTGTGGTTTTTCCAAGAAGACTCAAAGATATTACTGCCTTTGAGAGTGCTTGAAAATGATTTGACCTATAACATTTTCTGTCTATGGGGGGAAAACCATCAACAAAACTCAACAGGATGACAGTAACCCTAGCTGGTTGTTTTAAAATCAATGGATGCACTGAACAATTTCCAGTAAGGACCAAATATTTGTTATAATTAATTTGTTAATAAAAAGGACCTGTAACAGAGTGGACCCTCCTCTATTATCAATGAGTGACTAATGATTATTATGTAACTCTCCTTTTGTTTCTTCCACTCTCTCACACTCACATAGACAGTAAGTTTGGATTTCCACCAAAACCCCCCTTTGGTTGCGATGCATCCTGTGAGAGCCACCCTTGAGAACAGTGCTGGCTGGTTGGCTCAGTGGTCGAGCTCCTTGGCTACCACTAAACCGCAAGTTGCTAAGATAGGAAAATCAAGTAGGAGGGAATCTCAGAAATAAAGCAAACAGAGCCGTGATTTTAATGAAGAAAGGTCTGTTTCCCATGTGATAATACCAAAGGTTTATGCATACATGCCGAGTTACTAAAAAGGTCCAGACCTGGTTTTAGTGCTAATACACCAGTAAAAAACATGGGAGACAGAACTTGCAAGGTTGCAGCACTAGACAATGCCAGTACTGGTTGAGAATCATTGTGTCATGGTGTTTTTAATTACAAACCATGGAGCACATAATATTCAAAGTCTAAACTCAAGGTTTAAGGAAATTCAAGGAAATAGCGGCATTGTAGTCACATAAGTGCATTCAAAATGTTCACAGTTGATACATCTGACATTATACTTTTCTTTTGTACTTGTTATTTTCCAGGTCAACACAACACTTTCAACCACAAGTTATTATTCACTGTAACAAAACACTGGTATTCACCTAAATTACACTAAGCTGAGACATAAGACGGATGTGATGGTGTGCAATGTTTAAGTTTCCTAAATATATACATTTAGTTGAATGTAGCAATCAAAGTGTGATTATATTTACTCTTTAATGCTTTTTTATATTAAACAAAAGCATACATGTCTTAACCAATACAAGAATATTGTTATCTAGATATTCAGCATTTTATAAGTCCTTATTGTTCCCTTAAATCGACTTGTCAACGTATTCATTGAATTTTGTGAATTTATAACTTAAAAAAGGCATTGGAACGACCCACAAATCTGAGAGACTTATTTAAATTTCAAACAGCATTGACAAGGGTTCATTGTGGCACAGATTGGCCAGTCTGGTGTCATAACCTTAACTGTCATACATGTCAAAAATCGTGTCACAGAAAAAAATCAATAAGGGCTTTAACAGTGCTGAGTATGCATTATTTGTTGTAGACTTGCATGTACGTTTGAGTCGACCACATAAAAATATATATGCATACAATTCCTGAAGATGTATTTATTTTACATGTAAATATCGACTATTTACAAGTGTCTAAGTTATTCTTAAATACAACAATGGAACCCATGATTCTTTGAACGAAGAGCTGGCAAGGACTCTTCCCAGTCGTATACACTGTTATAAAAGAAGAAACATCTGACTTTCAATTGTCACTTTGTTTTTTTTTTCCATCAATATTTGTTTACATAAGAAGCACCTCATGATTGAGTTTTAAAGACTCCAATGAAAAGTAGCTACTTACTCATAAAATGAAAACGCATTGCAATGCAGAACCCACTCATAGAAAAACAGCTCCATAGCGCTACAGGGGTAAGATTATAGGACACAATTTAGTACTAATAAGCAAGTGTTAGCATGTTAAACTAAGCTGGGGAACATGGTAGATATTTTACCTACTAATGGTCAGCTTGTGAGCATGTTAGCATGCTGATTAACATTTAGCTCAAAGCAATGCTATGCCTAAGTACAGCCTCACGAATCTGCTAGCATTGCTATAGACTATAGACTTTCTTACAAATTCCTCCCCAAATTTGGATTACTCACAGTCCTTGACACTGCTAACTTACACTACCTCCATGATACATGATTTCTCCAGCTGCATTACTTTCACAAGGAGGGTGTAATACATAGGATGTTCTAGCTATACAACTCCATCTATGCAAGCAGCCCAGTGAGAGTTACATATATAGTGGAGCTATAGTGGAGTTACAAGGACATGATCCCTCACTGGCTTCACACCAGTTTTGGAGGCTCATCCAAATATGTCAAATATCATATGTTAAACTGAATAAAACGTTTGGTGGGTCAGGGCTTTATATTCGACAAAATGTCAA